ATCGCAGAAGAGAAAAATACGGTCGGACTTTGCATATACATGCACGGTCCTAATTTTATACATCAATATAAAATGCAGAATTAAGATACGAAGCCAAACATCTGCTCCTGGTCCCCTCCACGTGGTTTTCACGCCTAACGCATCGCAACCCGTGCCCGTATCTTATTTCTGCTACAAGACTCTCCTAAACTCTAAAAAGTACATAGGAAAAAGAAAAGACTAAATCCTGCATAAAAACAAGTGTCAGCGGAAAAACTCACATGCAAATAACGTATCATGAGTCATGCCTTAAAATTGAGGGAGCTAAATAACACCCGTAAACAAAAGAGTCAGAAATCATCACAGTTTCCTCCAATAGCGGTACCCGTGTGTGTGTGTTTATAAATAAACATGACTCCCTGCAGAAGAACGCCCTAACACACTACCACACATATGCAACATGCAGTCATACCGCAAGTACAATGTAAAAGAAAGATGCCTGACTATTGAAACCATTCTAGCAAAAACAATAGTCAGACATGAAAAAGACTACCTAACACCCTAAATCCTAGCATAACACACCATCTAACGAAAAGTGCGTCAACCTAGTATCTAAGTGCGGGGTAAGTCTAGGTATAATATGACTTTGACGGGCTTGTCATACCGACCCCATCTTAAAGATTCAAAGGATCTAAAGGGTGTCAGGAAGAGTGGTGACACGAGTTAGACGAGTTAGATCTATTAGATCTTTAGATCTTTAACACAGCCATACTCGTGTCGATCCCGATGACTTAACTCGCATTGCTCATCCAGATCAACCCAACAAACAATGTTCGTTAAGACATCGCGACCAACACGGGGTCACTCTCCTAACGAGCCTAGCTCGTTATCCATATGCAAATGCAAATGCAAGCAAATCAAAACATATTAGTGATAAAGAGTATGTTGTGAAGGCGGTGACTCGTAGGAATGGGCATGTCGTGGCGGCAGGGGCCCGAAAAAAGGGGTATACCGGTAAGACATTGATCCGAAGGTGGGCATACCGCGACGACAACGACCTGAAAAGAGGGTATACTGGTAAGTCAGTGACCCGAAGGTGGGCATGCCGTGACGGCAACAACCCGAATAGATGGGTATGCCGAGGAGGCAGTGACCCAGAGGTAGACATGTCGTAGCGGTAGGGGCCCAAAAAGAAGGTATGTCGGTAAAACAATGACCCAAAGATGTGCATGTCATGATGGCAGCGACCCGAAAAGAGGATATATACCGGTAAGGCAGTGACCCCAAGATGGGCATGTCGTGACGGTAGCGGCTCGAAAAGAGGGTATGCCGGTTATACAATGACCTGAAGGTGGGCATGCCGCGACGGCAAGAGTTCGAAAATAGGGTATACCGGTAAGACAATGACTCTAAAGAATGTAATTCAAGTAGATATCGATCATGCAGACAAACATGCACATGCACATACACAACATGCAAATGATCAAGTGGTAGGTCGACCGGGATGGAGCATTCGGTCAAACCAAAGCGTTGTGCCAACCGGGCCGGGGTAGCCGGCTGAAACACAGGTGATGTGACCGGTTCGGGATAACCGACCGAGGCACAAGTGGTGCCGACCGGTCCGGGACGACCGATTGAGGCATAAGTGGTGTCGGCGTAAGTGCAAGTGCAAGATATAAGGTGCAATTGCAAGTACGTGTAAATGCAATGTGCAAGGTACAAGTGCAATGCAAGCTGCAACATAAAAGTGGAAGTGCAAGTGCGATATATGACATACAATTTGTAACATGTAACATATGCACATGCAAACAATGAGGTGCATATGACCACATGATAGTGAGCCAAGCTCATACTAACGACCTCGCCTGGGAAACCTAGGGCTGACGCGCTTGGTTTTCGTCATCGCCGCCTCCAGTTTTGGCGTGGCAATGTGGAGGTTTTCCCCTTCCGATTTCTCGTCGGGGAAACTCTCCACCATTCGTAGGGCGAACGAGTTACAAAGTCTTTTCAGCTCTACAAACACCGAAAATCTTATAGGACGGACTAGCTACAAAGTCTTTCCCATCCTCTAAGATCGAACTCAACTAATCCCTCTAAGAGAGATTTGGAGCGCCAAAACCGTGAGAAATTGGGATTCCAACCCGGCGGGATAAAGATCTAAGACTCACAACAAAAGGGAGACAAACAAATGGGAGACACTCAGCTCTATGGAGGGTGTTTGGTCTGTTAGAAAAAATCCTAACCTAAAGGCTCACTCTAGGAAATTGAAGATCAATCACATAGGTACGTTGACACGCCGACTCATGCTGGCGCACGCACCCCATGTGGGCGATCGAACCCACACGCCTAGACATCACTAAAACCTAGGGCCGACTAGGAGTTTAGGAAATCTCACCACCATGGCGGTTGCAGACGCGTTTTCTTTATGCTGAAGGAGAGCCCACTTTTCCAGCGAACCCCGACGGTGCTCCAGTCCACGACAATTATCTCGCAGATCATGCACGAAACAATAAAAGAGGCAATGAGGGAGGAGGTTTACTTTCCGATGAATCTCACAACAAAATACATGAAAAATAGGAAATAACAGGGAATGAGGTATGCAAAATATTTGCAAGTAAACATTGACTCATATGAAAATGAGACCAGCACGTATATCTTCAAAGAGGGCTACTCGGCGGTGCGCACCAGGAGCAAAGGAAACATGGAGGAGAGCCCAAAATCTGAACCTCTCTTCGCTGATTTACTCATGCGTACGTGCGACGTCGGTAATCACAAGGTCGACGAGGAGGAAGAGGTCCGGCGGAGGAGAAAAAAGAAAATGGAGGAGGAAGAAAACCCCTCTTCCTTGCTTTTACTTCAAAAAACACCTCCAAAGCTTCTAAAAACTCTTCCCGAAGTGCTTCTCATGTCTTAATGATCTTGCCGGAGAAGAAGAAGAAAGAGCTTAGGTTGGCTGGATCTAGTCTCTGCCTATAAGAGAGGCAGATCGAGAGGAGGCAACAGGCTGGCTGCGGCTGAAGGGGCTCCGGTGGTTCTCGCGGGAGCGCCGCCTGGTTGGGGGAACGTCGGTGGTGAGGTTGGCGGTGAGGCTGAAAGCGAGGGGAGGCGAGGTTTTCGCGAACGGGGTCGAAGGAGTTTGAGAAGGCTAGGGCACTATTCGTTCCGGAGAGAAGTTGCGTGCGTGAGTTTTTTAAAAGGGATTTTTCTTTTTTATTTTATTATAATAATAATAACATTAGTATTTTTTTTAAAAATCCCTCGATTTGTGCACTTTTCACTCGTGCATGGAACCCAACAATATGAATGTCCTTTCCAGGTAAAATCAACGTTCTGAACGCGTTAGCGCAGTCCGTTTCGCCATCCAGGGTCATCTAGACAACTTCGCCGATGATCGGGTCAATTCAAGTCTATTTCGCGTGCAGCGCGACGAAAGTTACTAATAATTTTCGTAGACTCGATCAGAGTCGTCCAACGTGCAGAATGTCGGTCGGCTTTCGCCTAAGAAAAAAACAAAGCCTAGCAGAATGATCTTGGCTACGTGCCCCTCAACACGAGCCAAAGGGTTTCAGGTGTCTGAACTACGGGATGCTACGGACGGACCGTAAACTATCCTGAGTCATGCAGGTGGATACCTTACACTCGTGACATCAAAAAATGGATGCCAACAACGGTTGATCTCAACGCCATGAAGAAGAGCTTACACTTGACGATTTGAACCACGTGAGGTGGTTGTTAGGACCCGACCGTCCTTTATACGACTCCAAGACCGACATCTTAAACTTCTCCGGAGGCTCAACTCCGGAGACGTGTAGGGGGTGTTTTCCAGTTGTTTTTGTACCTCGGTCCACACTGGTCGGTTTCTTTCCTCCACTGGGGTGGATTCGAAGTTGTCTTGGTATAGACAGTCGTCGGGCTTGCCCTACAGGTGGATCACCCTCCTTCAATAGTTTTCTGGTTGTTCCGCTGGAGGGGGGATTCGGTGCTCCTTGCTGTGCTGGCTCTTCTCCTGGAACTGTGGTCGCTGCTAGGGCAGAGACCGCTCTAAGTACTTTTGGGAACTGTCTTGACTTTTTGTTGGTGATCTGAGTTCTTAAATCTTATAGGCTTTGTTGAATGAATTCTTCCATAAACTCTCAGGTGCATATTGCATCTCCTAAGTTCCTGTGACTGGACTCTCCCCGCTATTGTAGTTGGGCTCCTCTTCTTGTTGACGACATGTTTCCACACTCACCGCTCCTTAAATGATGTTGAATCCAAAAGTGTCTGGGAAACATATCCAATGAATAAAACGTTCTGCTAGGAAGTGATTAGAAAGATAGAGAGGACATCTTAGGGAACAATAAAAGAAAATATATTTTAGTCATGACATAGACCTCTAGTTATAGACATAGGTCCCAGTATTACAAAAACACATATTAGCCCTCTTATCATTAAATTTTCAGTGGGACTTTTTGGTAATTACAGAGTTATTCGTATATAATAAGATCGGGGACTGGTTCGATCAATGAAGGTTGCTGATTGTCTGGTCAGCCTTGTTTCGATCGATATCTAGTCCGAAAAGTGCTCCCCGTCTATCATCCTGAAGGCGGATTATCGTCCTGTAGGAGTTTCTTTTGTCGTCTTCCACTGATCGTTCGAACAAGATGTTTCTTTTGCTAATATTCAACAAAAAAGAAACAATCATCGAAGGCTATGCTCAATTGTTGGCATCTTGTTCCCGAGTCATTCATCTGACTTAAGATTTGTGTTGACATATTTTTATATGCACAATATTTCTTCAAAGAAGAAAGGAATACTTAGAATGGATGACAGATTCGTCATTTTAATTTCTGACAAACATTGAAATAAACTTATAAAGTCAATTAAAATTAAGTTGAATCTCATCCCTGCAATCCATTGATGCTAAAAAAATTTTCATTATTGTTATTTTTTTATAATTCCAATGACGTTGTATAATCTACTTCTGACGCAGTTTTAACTAGTTTCGGATTTTTAAATTCTTGTTCATCTCTACTCAAAAGGGATTGGGCTCTGAAGGTGTTGGCGCTCTACTTGGTATGATGCACACTGCTGGAACGGTTTCAGACGCGTTGCCTCCCCCAAAGTCACAACTTTTATCATCATTTATGAAACTTTATCGACCCAATGTAAGTTTTAAACTCCAATAGATTTATTATTAATGCTTCTAAATCAACAGGCCCTATCAAAGTTTTAAAATTTGATCGGGTTGGCTGATTGAACCGGTCATTTGACGGGTTCAGTTCAAGTTGAAACCGTGTTTGACTAGAACCGGGATTTAGCCGATTAAATTGAACCGGTCATTTGACGGGTTCAGTCCAAATTGAAACCGTGTTTGCATAGAACCGTGATTTAGCCGATTAAAATCAGGGCAAACCGATGAACTGATGCAATTTTAAAAATAATCTTAAGAAAATTTACAAATGTAGCACACACACCTAAACTTTCATATTTATGTGCATTGCACTTTAGTGCTTAAAACCTGTGCATGAAAATGTGTATTTCACTTTTACAAAGTGATAATATTGTTATTTTTGATGTGATACTAAAGATTTGAGCGCTATGTGTGTAAATATGAAAGTCTAGACGTGAGATATGTATGCAAATACGTTAAGAATTGTGTGCTATGTATGTAAATTCTACATTTTATTATTATATCATTATTATATTATTTAAATCATATTAAAATAATTTCATGTTCATTAAGTCATTACTCAACTCCTATTCAACCTTTGATGCTTGAACATTTTATTTTTTCCGGGAATAATTACATACATAGCTTCGAGACATTGCTAAATCTAGCACCAAATTGTTATTTTTGAACTACCAAACTGATGTATGTACTCATGCCAGGATCAAATCATTGAAAGTTTGCTAGAAATGAATAATAGGGTGGGGCTTTATCATGAATTTTGTCATTTGAGTGAGAATTTGACATATCGATTTAAGAGGGTGTTAGATTTGTAAATAGCAATTTTTCGGGTGCTATGTATGTAATTGCGCTCCTTTTTTATGTGGGATTTACATAAATAGCACCCAAAACAATCAATATTACATATATCTCGCCCAAACTTCAATATTTACATCTTTAACAACCAAAACGTTCAGTAACAACAAAATTAACAACTCTGTTAAATTCATAATCCCGTTAAAGTCGGCTTCTGGTCTTCAGCCATAATCACTGTGATCTTTGGTTTCATGTCATGCACACCGGCGTTTACCTGCAGCCTCTCTGTCGCTCCACCGCCATCGTTGAGCTGGGGTCGGAAATCTTTCGTTTGGTGCAGATAAGAATGACCAGAGCAATGGAAATGAGAAGAACTATACAACCTGTTCCTCCTAATAGATATGGTACCGGTTAACAACCGTATCATCTACATGCCATGTATCATCCTAGGTGATATCCTCCATTACCTATTATCATTGCCCTGTAGCTAACCTGGGATCACATCAATTCCTCTCTAGAATTTTCTCTTTACACTATATATATGTATTACATTGGTTACTGTTCCCTGAAATGGAATTACTATTCGCCTTTCGTCTCGGTACATTTCTGTACTTCTTTCTGTATTCTTGCTAACCTGTTGCAGGTTTTTATGGTATCAGAGAAGGTTTTTCTCCCAAAACCCTTCCTCCCTTCTGTAAGCCTATCTATGTATCCTCTCTCTTCTGTAAGCCTCACTCTGTATTCTCGGCAACCATCTTTCGCATCCAGTTGACCATTGTTCGCACCTGTATGTTCGTCCGCTCTGTCCCTTGGATCTCGGTGTTTTCGCTTAGCTCACCTTGTCTGCACTGGTTGGCCTTTGATCATCTCTCTGGGTGATTACCTTACTTTTTGGGACATCATTTCTGATATTAATTCTTCCACCAGCAGATCCGAAATTCCACAATCCTCTCTCAGAAATGACATTTCTATTTCCTTATCACTCAAATTTCTCTTGTCCAATGTAAAAACCATATGCTCTGATGGAGGGGAGAATACACATCTCAAACACTTAAACAATATCTCCTGTCACATAGCATTCATCACCAATTCAGTTGCCCCTACATACCCCAACAAAATGTGGTTACCGAACACAAACATTGCCACTTAATTGAGACAATCATAACTCTCCTACTATCCGCCAAACTTCCTACACAATTATGGGTTGATGCTCTCACAACTGCCTCTTACCTCATAAATCACATGCCCTCCAAAACACTAAATTATAAATCACCTTATGAGCTACTCTATCTCTCTCCTCCTACATCATATCACCTCCGCACATTTGGATGCTTATGTTTCCCATGGCAAAGACTTGTAATCTAAAATAAACTTTTACCAACTGCACCACTTTGCATTTTTATCAGCTACTCCCAACTATAAAGGTTATCGCTGCTTCAATCTCCAAAAAAAAAAAAATCATCACCTCTCGATATGTCACCTTCAATGAAACTTCCTTCCCAACCACCTCTCAAGTGCATTTACTGCCAATCCTCCATTCAACATACTGCCCGGTCTCCGAACACCAACAACAAGCAACATGTTCCCTGATCCACTTCTATCGTCCAACACATTTTCTTCCAACAACCTCTTCTTCCTCTCCTCATATCACAACTCTCTTCGCACCAACGTCAAAGTTCACCTGTAGCGTCGAGAACTCATCCACCCAAACCCATCAAACATCGTATGGTGACTCAAGCCCAAACAGACTCTCAAACCAAAACAAATCCTTAATCTTCACAATACCACAGTTCATCCTACTGATCCCAACAGCAATATAGATGCTGTCAAATATTCTCATTGGCAGCAAGCTATGTCTAGTTGTTGAGAAAATTAGGGCGAAGAAAAACAAGAGTAACGACACAAATCCAGAAGAACACAGAGATTTAACGAGGTTCGGCAAAGATGCCTACATCCTCGGGAGCAGAGCGGCGTATTCCTTTCAATATTCAGAAAAGATATTACAGAATAGAGGATCCAACTCTCTCAAAGACCTAGGATTACAAACAGGTATATTTATAATCCTAGAGTAAGCCCTAGAGTACAATATGTAATTTTCAAATTACTTCTGTACCATATAGCCCCAACCCATATAACGTAACTTCCCAATTTGGGCAAATTCTTTCGCTCCGCTCCGCTCCGCTCCAACGTTTGTCCCTATATGGTATATGAGCCATACCATAACAAATCTCCACTTTGGCGAATATCCAACCCCTTAGGAGAAAAGATACATGGGAGTTACACCTGCACCAATGTGGGTTAGGCCAATCATGCTTCTGTTGCGCCCTCGCTGATCTCAACCCACTAAATTCCAAGAGACACACCTCTTTAATTCCAATAGACTTATCTTCTTTCCAAGAGACTCCAAATTCTGGTATTATGAGTCATACCTAACAATTCTCCACCTTGGCGAATATTCAGCCCTTTAGGAGAAAATCTCCACCTTACGAATATTCAATCCCTTAGGATCAATCCCTTAGGAGAAAAAATCTCCACGAAAAATCTTCACCTTGCGAATATCCCGCCATTTAGGAGAAAACTTTACATTGTGAATATCCAGCCCCTTAGGAGAAATATCTTCACCTTGCGAACATCCTGCCCCTTAGGAGAAAATCTCCACCTTGCGAATATCCAGCCCCTTAGGAGAAAAATATTATAGAGTTTCTTATGCACAAATGTGGGTTGAATAACTTTTCTTGTTCGCGCCAGCACCTCGGCTAAACTGCTGTCCCTTGAGCAAAACCCTTCGCGAAATCCCTCCGCGAAACCACTGTTCGCGAATAATCGCGTCTACTTGCTCGCCAACACCCTACCGAACTCCACCTGTCGCAAACTCCACCTGCGACGAACTTGCAAACTCTGCTGGTCGAACACCACCAAACCCCTCTGTTTGCAAACGCTTCTGTTCGCGGTAACTGCACACGAACTCCTGTTCGCGAACTCCACCTCGCCTAATGCCGCGAAGGTTCATGAACTGCCCCGCCGCCGCCTCTGCCGCGAACTCCCCGAAGCATAACTTGTCGAACTGTCGTAGCCCTTTATCTGAAATGCTTCGCACCTGTTCGTTCCCGCGAGCCCGTCAGCCTTGCGAACAATCTGTAAATTTTTTTATATTCTCTTGCGTCATAGTTAAGATTCCCTTCCTCTAGCCAAGAAAATTCAGAAAAATCTTCCAAATTTTCTTCTCCACAATATTCCTTGTTGAGCCAGAAATTTTACTCACTTTGATCCTGCCATAAATCCCCGCAGATCCAATAGAGGAAATCCACCAAAAGAAAATATTTTGAGGCTCCAGTAAAGGAAAGAAAATCACATTCCAATTATTTCGCTTCGCTTTCCTTTCAAATTTTCCTCTGAACTTTCCTTTTCGGCTTCCTGGAATAGCTCCGCTGCATCTCAAAATTTGAAGAATCTTCCAAATTTACTTCCCCGCAGTTTTCTCCGCTCGCTCCAGTGAAGGAATGAAATCTGAATCACCTCCCAAGATAATCGGGACCTTCCGATTTTGCTTCCTGCCTCCGAAGGAATGTTCAGTCTCCGCAGCACAAAGCTTCCAATTTCTTCAACAAACCGAATTCGAAATTACTGAAACGGAACTAGCGGCAATTCAGGCCAAGCAAACGGAAACAAATCTGGGTTGACTCCCTTCCTTCTCCGTGGACAGATGAACTCCTTTCTTTTTCTGGAAATCGAAACCCAGGAAAAATTTCTCCTTTCCTTTCCAGAAATCGGAACCCAGGAGAGGAAATTAAATATTCTCCTTTCCTTTCCCAGAAATTGGAACCCAGGAAGAAATTAAAAATCCAATATTCTCCTTCCCTTCCAATTTTGTTTCTTTCTCCGTATTCCTGCGTCCAAAGCTTGCCGTCGCCGGCGAATCTGGCTCTACGACAGTCCTTTATCCGCGATAGTGAATATCATGAGCTTCAAAGTCTAGGAACTTGGCAACTTGTTCCCCTACCACCACATCAAAACATTATTGCTTGCATGTGGACTTATCGAACCAAACTAATTTCGGATGGCTCCATTGCTAAACACAAAGCTTGCCTCGTCGCCCTGGGTTTTAAACAACAACATGAAATAGACTACAACGAAACCTTCAGGCGGGTTGCGAAATTTTCAGCCTTCTGAATCTTACTCACGGTGGCCTTATACCACAACTGGCCCATCAAATGGTTAGACATTTCAAATGCCTTTCTTCATGGATCTCTCGATGAAACTCTCTGTATGCAACAACCCCAAGGATTTCAAGACACACAACATCCCAATTATGTCTGCGTACTCAAATAGGCTCTATATGGTCTCAGAAAAGCACCACGTCAGTGGTATTCAACCTTCTCAAATCATCTCAAGCTTCGAGGGTTTCAAATGATCAAAGCCTTACATATCAGCACGATGACGTCCACATGTATCTCTTCATTCTTAATTAACTTCAATCAACATTCATGCTAAAGGACTTTGGAAGTGTCAACAACTTATTCACATCCTAAAAAACTCTCCTGGGTACTTTCTTACTCAAACAAACTGTATCATCTCTCTTTTACAGCAACCTGGCATGGAAAATTGTACTCCTATTCACACTCTGCTACCTACAAAACTGATACCGGACGCCACCTCTCAGCATGAATACTCTCAAAGCACTCAATATCACCAACTCGCTGGGTCACTACAGTTTTTAACTGTTAAAAGGCCATATTTACCTTTGCTGTAAACTTCCATTGTCAACAAACGTGCAAACCCCTTCTCTACCATTTTCAGCTCATCAGAGACTACTTCATTATCTTAAAGCTACAACTCATTATGGCCTTCAAATTTCCAAAGTGGATCTTTCTCAATTGCTTCTGGGATGTTGATTGGGCGGGCATTATGGACGATCACAGGTCTACCACCAACTTTTGTACCTTCTTAGGCAACACTTTCATCTCACGGACTGTTTAGAAACAAAAGACCATCGCTCAATCTTTCAGGGAAGCGGAATACATGGCTCTTTTGTCTGCCACCACAGATATCATTTGGCTTTGGCATCTCCTTCAGGACTTCAATATCACAATATCTGCTCCCACACCTATCTACTGTGACAATATCTCCGCCATTGCAATTGCCCTAAATCCAATCTTTCATACCCACACCAAACATATGGAAATCGATCATCACTTTGAACTCGATAATCTAGTCTCGAAATAAATTTAGATTCATAACATAGCTTCACAAGTTTAGATGGCACACATACTCACCAAGTGTTTATCTAAACCGCAATTCATCTGCTTTGAAACAAGCTCACGATCAATGCACCAAATCGTGATTTTGAGGAGAGGTAACAAACGTACCATTCACATGCCATGTATCATTCTTGGTGATATCCTCCACTAGCTATTAACATTACCCTGTAAATAACTTAGGACCACATCTACTTCTCTCTATAATTTTCTCTTAACACTATATATATAGATAATATAGATATATATATATATATATATATATATAGATATATA